ATTTTCATTTCAAACATGTCAACGGCACTTTAAGTGTTAAGACTGAACAGTTTTACTAGGTCCATCTAGTAGTACAAATAGAATAACTTTTGTTGTGAAACAAAAATATTCAGTATTAATAAATAGATTATACTTATTTGGTACGTTTTAGTACCTAATTGATGTTTCCAATAAGATTGAAGCAATTACTTGCATTTAAATATTTTTGACAATGTAGTTTATATTTCTAATATTAATAAGTAAACATTTTACTTCCATGAACTGTTACATACACAAATACATTAAAAGTCAGTATTAAGAATGTATTTTTATGCTGTAAGGAAGTGAATGTAGTTTGTTTTATTATGTTCCTGAGGTTTATACACTACCGTTTGTTATTAGTGATACAAATATAAGTTTAGTTAAGAACAATATTGGAAATTATTATAACCTTTATCTTTTCATTAATTGTATGTTGAGTTGATGCACTGGCATGTTACTTACTCTTACTCCCATCTAAAGAGATATCTAAGAGAGATCTTTCTCGCATATCTAAGGAGATATTTGGCCGCACCAACAACGTCCATCCATCTTTATCTATCTCCTACGTCTTGGTCTTACCCGGTTGCTTTAACGAAAACTAGAACAGAAACGGTCTAAATCTAAACCTCATGTTAATGTTATTAGTGTAGGATTCGGACCAGTGACGTTATTTGTAAATGTTTATGATCTATACAGCTTTCTGTTTTGATATTAGTGGCTGCTTCTTATCGCTCCATGCCTCTGATATTACATTATTAAGCCTCTATCATATTACATTTTGTAATTAATTGTGGAGAGATTTTGACTCTACAAGCATAGACAAAACCAACTCTCTTCTGTGGTGGGCATGAATTAGAGAACTATTGCCTCGCTAAATTTAGAGCCTCTGATGAACAACATTTTTCAAACTACTGGGCTTTTAATCGACAATGTTTTGGCTTCTTTAAATTCCAGCTGCCTAATTTAATGTTAAACGTTGTTAGGTTAGGTTATTATAACTCGATTATTCACTCAGGCTAGATCCGTTTGCACAACACCAATTAACATTATCGTTAATATTAACCATGGTTAAAAGTTCTATAGTTCAAGGATTAAACAATTTTTCAGGATCCTCCTTTAAATGTTTACTTTTGTTCTGTTAGTGCCCAGCCGCAACTGTACACTTGGCTTTAAAATGAAAACTCCGATCTGCTGTGACAGTAGTTTATATAATTTCTTTCATTTTAAATATTAAGATTCTTTTAGAATTATAATCATGACTCTAATTTTTTTTTTAGTATTGTTTAATAAATATTATTTTAAATATCCATGGTTGTTTTACTGTTAAAACTAAAGACTCCCAGATTATTTAGGTTTTTATTATTACTATTTATAAAAAGTGTAAAAAATAAAATATTAATGTGGTTTTGTAGTTAATATGTATTTATGTAATGTAAAGTATTTTTGCACTAAGCCAATTATAATTTATATAAACAATTACTGTTTATACAGCTCAAATTTTATTCCCTTTCCACCTAAATTAATTATACGCTGTTAGTAGTAGTTAAATGTATGTATATATTGATTGAGAATAAAACACGATTTAAAGTTTATTTGATCGCGTTTAAGTTATATTATATTTAATCACATTATATTTATACACAATATATTATATATTTATCCACAAACAATATTTCTCTGCTAATATTAAAATTGCTTTATCTTGCAGTCTGAATATATAAATTAATTAAATTAATAAAATATTGGAAGAAGTTTATTTTACTTTTAATGTTAAGTTGTTCAGCTGTTTAAGTTAACTTTTATGATTGTAGTATTTTTTTTTACATTTTCCTTAAAGCCTGTTTGGATAAAGAATAAAATATAATATAAGTTTTTAAAAGTTCATGCAAGATAATGTACTTAAAAGTTGAATAATTAATAAAATTTCATTGTGTTATCTCATCCAATGGCAGTGAAAATCAAAATTATTCCCTTGGTTTATATTACTAATTGTTGAAAATACCACAAACATAGCAACTATGTTTACTCGTTCTGTAAGAAGGGACAATGGTCAAAAATATTTGCAAATACATTTTGAATTTCGCTGGTCTACTCCTTTTTGTAATATATTATTTAAGTCAAATCAATATTGGTAATTAGTATGTATGACCACTAGTAATTAACACCAATTAACCACTTTCATAAGTTAACTATGTTTTAAGTTAACTTCAACATTAGCTAACCAAACCGACTAACATCCATCAAGTTATTCAGGTAACACGTAACAATTGTTTTGGCAGAAAGAAGATGGGAGGTATTAGACAACCCTGATGGCACCCAATCTTTCCAGTGTGCAATGTGTTACAAGAAATACCGTCACATGTCTACACTGTACAACCACATGCGATATGAATGCAACAAAGAACCTGAGTTTAGCTGTAGTTTCTGTCCCTACAAGGCCAAGAGAAAAACACATCTACGAGGACATACTCTGTGGAAACATAGGCAGCAATTGTTATAGTTTAAATTATTCCAATTTTTTTTGTTGGTACAACTTGATGTTGTAAAAAACAAGGTAAGTTTGATAAAAGTGTTTGTGTCTTAGTCATCAGTTTAAAGGAAGTTGAGTAAAAAGAAAAAATGCATTTAAAAACAACAATTTTCTCTTTTAAACAAATTTCCTATTCCTAAAAAGAATCCCACATGTTGCAAAGCATGGGTATTATAATGCATAGATCGTAAGATATATGAATTTAAAATGTTTGAAATGTTATAAACAATGTATATTTATGAAAAAGTGCATTGTGACTTGTATAAACCATTGACTGTGCCTTTGTTTTTATTGCATTTGCATTTTGAAACTTGTGATATTATAAATATACATTAATTATTCTATTAATGTTTTATATATTTATATTGTTAAGCATTTTTATTTTACTCGTTGGGTTGAAATTACAAATACATCCGCTTTGTTTTTGATTATAGAGATTATATTTAACGTGGTTTCTGTTACATATTTTAAAGTTGTTGGGGTTGCAGATTTATATTGGAATATTGTTAGTGTTGTACTGTAGTTTTAAAACTCAGATATTGTTATAACAAATAAAGTATATATTTTCATTATGTTTTGTTAATTAATTAAACCCTATTTTTAAAATCGCTTATTTAAACAAATTTGTTTCTTATACTTAGGGCCCTATTGTAAAAACAATAATGTTAACGTTTGCCTTATGAATTTAGTTTTAAATTTAATATATTTTATGTTTGGTTGCCTGTCTTGGGGGCTTTGACTATGAAAGTGTAAGTTTGAATCCTGGGTTGGTTTGGGTGCTTTTTTGCTACAGAGGCCAGAAAGAGAAGTTAACTTTAAAACTAAAGTTACCTGTAAAAAACCAGATAGTTTATTGCTCTTAAAAAGAATAACTTCCTTTTTTTGGTGGTGTCTAATTTAATAGTTCATCTTTCAATCTCCGAGAATATTATAACTTTTGAAATAGTCCATTTTCCCGTCATTATTTAAAAAAGGTTAGTTTTAATTTAAAACGGGTATTATTGGTGGTCTTGGTTTGTCTGTGGTAGTGTTGGTGAAATGATTTGGCGTCATCCTTAAGCTTTCGTTTACATCTATTTAGTTAAAGGGTTTAAACCCTTAAGGTGAAATAGTAACAATTAATTCTTAACACCTACCAATGGAGAGAAGTAGGGTGATACGAAGTTCAATTTATGATTAATATTAATACCTAAACTCCTAAACTTTTGACTCATTCTCGTTAAATACATTTACTTATGTAATCTTTATTTTTAAAGAGTTTTTTTACGAGTTTTACCATTTTCGGCTATTTTGTATGCTGTTTAGTATGAGCAAATATAAAAAAATATATTTTTAATCTTAATTTTTCCTATGGTGTAATATTGTAAAGGTATTTTTAAAATTAAATAACATTTTGTGAACACTGTATTTATGGGTTACAGAAAGTAGTACTGTATATGTTTGTAGCAAATCTTTGTAATTTAGATCAAATATCTTAATTCCAATAGTCATTAGCCGGGACGTGCTACAAATATATGGCAATGATGTCTTAGGTTTGCCGTTAATAAAATATATCAGTGCATCTCATCCTTAACGACATAACCCATAGCCCTGCTTGATACGTTCCATGCACGAGTCTCTGGTAAATAGAATCTAAAGAGGCCGCTAACCTCTTAAAAGATTTGTGTGTACCACAATCGTTTCTATATTATTAAAATACTACATTGCTACGATATTAAAGGTTTTATATGCTGTCATCATTACATAGCATACCAATTTAAGTAATATCATTGACAGTAGACTTCCCATCCAATGTATAAATTTGAAGCCAAGAAGATATATGAATTTCATGATCATTTCACCAGAGGGTACTAGTGTATTGGATTGAATATGAATCAAGAACCCATACTAACAGCTGATTAATTTATTACTTGGCATAGAATATTGTAATTAGTTGGTAGACCATCTTAACATATTGCACCACGTTTGGCTTCAAACTTTTACATTGGATGCGAAGTCTACTCATGTTTGTAGTCAATGGTGCTATTTACAAGTTTCACTTGTCCATCACACTCAGTAAATATTTACCGTAAGTTTCCTTCAAAGACATCTGACTTCTCACACATGATTGTTTGCAGAGTCAGTAGCGACTTCGGCAGTCACCCTCAGTGCAGATGGGTCCCCCATGTTCAAGTGCCTAGTGTGTGGCAGAATGTACAAGCACCAATCGACCCTCGCTAACCATCAGAAGTACGAATGCATGAAGGAACCTGGGTTCTTCTGCCCTCTGTGTCCGTACAGGGCCAAGCGTAAAACGCATCTGAGAGCCCATGCCAGGTCCAAACACCGGATTGAGCTGGAACCTTTACCACGTGTCAGGAAATCTAGATCTTATTATAGTTAATACTGGGTTTTGGTTAACCAATTAGTTTTTTTTATCGCGTGATTTAAGAAAGGTTTCAAACACATCATGTCGAACAATAATCGGGATAACAACTGGCATAGCGTCCTAGAGGACGCTATTAGAATACGAGACCCCGTTGGTGTGTGGCAACGTCGCACCGGCCAGCCTATTTCCATGATAACAATAGTAATAAAAATAATGTTTAAACATAAACATTCCATTGTGAATTCGTTCAACGGCTGTTTTGGTGTGCCTTGGTTGCGACGCTGCCACTTTTATCTCCCCACCTACTACTAGAGGCTTCAAGCTCAAAAGTTGTTAATAATTCCGTCATTGCCAGGCTACAAAAGGGTCCACATCTCTGTCACGATTTATTTTGACATTTCAATAAAAATCCTTTAGTAGCCTATGACGACAGGAGTTTTGAATGACCACTGTAACTTATAGTAAGGGATAAGCTGACATGTAATGTGTTTTGGGACAAGATATGCTTTAGCCAAACATATTAGAATTGTGTCAGTTATTAAGATGACGTATTCCAATGTGAGTTTTAGGAATATTTTCTAACCAACAAGCTTGACAATTTTTTTGTTATGGGTAAAATTCCATAAGAGGAGTAAGGTGAAGTAAATTTGTCAAATTTGTTCAGTTAAAAACTGTAATAACTGACAAATAAAGAAATAAACTTCACAAAGTGTTATTGTGATATGGTTGTCTATTAAAATGTAAAATCATTAGTTTGCTAGTCTGGAATCACCGATTCCGTAATTAAGAATCCCATAAATATACCAATCACAAAAGAGACAATAATGTGATGCATAAAATGCAAAACAACCTTTACCTTAAAATCCAGCTGTAAGCTCTCCTATAATTTTGTAGTTTGTTTTGATGCAACCAATGTACCTGTTTGTATTATTGTAAACGTGATAGCTGCATTCCATGTCGAAGGACATAAAATTATGTAAGGAACAATAAATATAGTTTATTTTACTAAGTGCCTTTTGAGGTTGTGGATTATAGTGATACAAAAGCACTGCAAATATTTCTGAGAGTGTGACTGTTATATATTTCTTATTTAGGCCTAATTAATTTTTTTCTACATGGGCATGTGATTAAGTTATTTGTATTAAATACAATAAACTATATTTTTTGAGTTATGGTTTATGTTTTGTGAAACAAAATATATATTTATTATATTTTTTATTTAATACTTTTTGATTAGTTTTTTTGTTTTAGATAAATAATTGAGAGTTACCTATATTGTTTATGTTTGGGTTAGGGAAATATTAGTATTTAATATTTTTAAACGGGTGGTATTTATATTTATTGTGATTTTGAAAGAAGAATAAAGTTATATTATTCTGTAGTGAATTTGACCTAATTTCCTTACCGTGCTATCCTCTGATTTGGTTTAATCTATTCATCATTCTTGTTGAAATAATGATACATTTAGCAAACAATTAATTATGCTAGTTTTTATGAACTCTGTTTACTTTTGCTGTGCTTGACCAAAAGGATGAAAAATTAAAATTTATCTATGCCCATTGTGCACTTGTGAGCAAAAAAACATCTGCTTTAGATTTTCAGCTAGACTATACATAATTCATTACAGGTAAGTAGGCCTACATCAGTAAATTTTTGTAAAATATAGTCAATGGGAATACAGTGATAGTTTCATTCTAAAATTAATGTTGTAAATTTCACTCTGTTTCATTTATTTCCAACGAATAATCAATTTATTGAATTCTTGTTAAGAAAATTGCCATAAATTAATATTTTATGATACGGTTTTCACAAGCATTACAACTTATTTAGGAACCTTGCAATAATAGACTTGTTTAAACTTAGCTTTTCTACCATCAAATATGAAGTTAGATTTTCCTTGGGGCATTTTCCAGTCTAAATTACCGAAACAAAAGTTTCAGAGAGACAAAATGTTTTTAACAATCATTTTGAAACCAATAAAACAACAGACAACATTTACCCTCCTATTTGATTTAATCGTGGTTTGGCTTGAAGAGGAATTTCTTTAGATTTTATCTGTAACCATATGTTTTTACAGAGTTCGGAGCCAAGCCGTACGTCTGTCTCTGTGGCCGTTCATACAAGCACAAGTTTCATCTACAGCAACACAAGAAGTATGAATGCAACAAACCGCCTGCCTTCTGCTGTCAGTTCTGTCCGTACAAGGCACACAGAAGAAGCTCCCTAACTGCCCATGTGGGACTAAAACATGGCATAGGGCAACTAATTTGAGACAGTACAGTGACGGTCTGAAAAAAAAGCATGTTGTCTCATTTAATTTCAATTTATTGTGATATTTGCAATCTACTTATACATTTTTCATCCTTTTCAATTTTTGTTGTAAGAAAAGTTAGGTATTTGGCTACCTTTAATTCGGCCTTCTATTTGGGCACGGGTTTATCATGTGTGCATTTAGCCCGATATGTATGAAATACACACCTTGCAGACCTTTTGAGTAATTTGATCACTCAGATTTCCAGAATTTTTAAACTTAATCGTATAAATGGTTGAGCTAAGTGCTGTATACGAATACAATTATATGTGGATGGACCTTATTGGTGTTAGCGTAAAGTTTAAGTAATGTGATGTAAAATTAGATAGTTTTTAAGATAAATTAAAAACATTACTGTGTTGTAAATAGATATTATTGTAGTATTTTTGTAAGAATTAATTAAAAAAAAAGTTAGTTGTTGTAATGTATCTAGACAATAGTTTTGCAATTAAAAAATTATTTGGAAAATATAGTTGTTTTTATAGTTGAGCAGATAACTGCCGTTTATATGTTTAATCCATTACAACATCTTTAACAAAGCATTAAAAGTGGGTAAATAATGATACATGGGATGGTGAAGGTGTATCGGATAGAATGGTTTGTCATGGAGGTGGCCCCGCCGAACAGCAATTCATTGTCTTATCTATTTATCCTATAGATAAGATCTCAGTCCACTATTACATTTACGCCCACGTAGAAGAAATAAAGGACCAGGTGACCTTTTCTAAAAAAAACCCTTAAATCGAATAAATAATTTATTAAAATTCTTCTTCCATTGATTTAAGATGTCACTTGAAAAAAACATCTTTCTTAAAACAAAGCTAATTGCAATATATACCAAGTCAATATATACTAAGTATTAGCATAGATAAAACATACTCCCTTAGTAGATTTCTCATCCTTATGGAACAGCTGAAGACAATTTTATTGTTAGTTCATGTACGGTTTATGTAGAGGTCGTGTTTTGTTTACAATTTGTTTCCCATTATTACAGCCATTTAAAAACTCGTTTAACCAAATAATACGATCTAATCATAAACAATTACTTGTCCCCTAGTTATATAACCAAACAGTAAAGCACAAATCAAGAAATTAACCCTAAAATAATGGAAACAAAGTTTCGTCGAAACTAGCGCCTTTGTGTCACGTACATGAACTAGACACGAAAAACGTGCTTCAAAATTTACAATGGGATGAGAAGTCTACTTGTGTTGGTTAGTCTATGGTATTAGGTATTATATAACCCTAAGTACTAGGCATTATATGGCAAACATAACCTCTTAAATACCTAAACAAATCAGAATAAGTAAAAAAAAAAAAAAAAAAAATTAGGTGGTAGGTGCAGATAGGAGTTTTATACAATATTTATTCCACTAAAACGTCTACTTGTTATTCATTAACCGAAGGTGCTCTGGATGTCATTTCAGATCTTAAGCCATATCATTGCGAATGCGGAAGAAAGTATAAGAACAAGTGTCATCTGCAATACCACAAAAATCACGAGTGTGGAAGAGAGCCGAGCTTTCAGTGTCCGTATTGCTCATATAGGGCCAAAAGGGGAGCCACACTTAACTCCCATGTGGCCTCAAAACATCAGAAGTGGAACGTATAGGTAATTTTCACATGATTAGTGGTACAGGTAACCTCCATGTTAAAAGGAAAGATTGTATTTAAGTTTTTATTGTGTTTATTGAAGTTTTTAATCCCGTTTCCAAAGAACTTGTTTCGTCTTAAAAGCCACCATAAGCTTCACATCACACTATGTTTAATAACAGATTCCACAATTCTTGATACAAAAATATTGCACGTGCGCAATTATAGCTATCTGTAGTGGTTTGTGCACTAGGTTTAAAATAGAATTTGAGACGTAAGTAAAAAAGATTATTCAATCCGTGCTACAAATTTACATCATGATCAATTTTTGTGACATGAAGAACCATTGTGTCAAATTTAACAAAGTTTGAAGACGTTTGGTACTTTTGGTAACCAAGACAGAAATCAATTGCTATGCTTTGTTGCTGTACTTATTGTGATAGAAATGCATTGTATATGATTAGATTTAACCATGAAATTGTAAATTTTAGTGTTTATTGTGGTACAGTTCGATAATCTAACTACTTTTATTTTTGTATTAGGAGATGTTGCTATGACGGCAGACAATAAATTCCTGTGTCATTGTGGTCGCAGCTACAAATACAAACATGGCCTGGCAGAACATCAGAAGTACTCCTGTGGGAAGGAACCTATGTTTCAATGCCTTTATTGTACTTATAGGGCAAACAAGAAGAACAATCTCAAGACCCATATGATCATGAAACATGCAGAACAGTTTAACCCTAATCTTCTATAGTGGACTGGATAAGTTTCAAGACAACATTCAAATTATTTTAGGGGATTTATTACTTGGTTTGCTTATTATTGCAAATATTGCCTAGGTATTGGTTTATGTTTTTGTTCTATTGAAAGACTTATAGGTATATTAATATATTATTTTTTTAACACTTCTGCAAAGTTAAAGGTCTAGATTTCATGTTTTTTTTGTCATAGTTGTTTTTTTATTTATTAAATACCATAATCTCCCCATTGTTGACGATTAAAGAATTTTTACTTATGAATCTTTATTTTTTATACGCTAAGAGATTTATTACTTTTGTTAACTAATTTGATGAAAAAACTAAAGTGTATGACTACATGCTACAGATTATTGTTTCTAAATTAGCATTGCACTCTATTTTTAATAAGTCGTAGTAAATAGTAAAGCTTAATAATTTGCACTTTCGTCCAACAAATAATCTGTGATAGGATTACGGGAATTAAAGTTAATGTGTAAACACTATTTAGTTCAAATATTTATTAAATATTATGTTTCTTTTGTAAGCATTGAATATATTGTGTATTTATTTTCCCTCCAAAGCTGACACAATGTATACGAGGAAATATTGTGTAAAGTAAAAAATACCTGGTACTGCGGAATACTACCCCCTCCCCCCCCCCCCGAAAACTACCCTCCCCCCAGGTGAAACGTGACTTCAAGAAATGTGCCAACTAACCAATATGAGAGCAGTGTCCGGGATTGGAATACTACCCCCCTAGCGAAATGTGATGCAATGTAATTGTTGTATCAATTCGAGTAATTTCGTTTGATAACAGAAAAAGACATGTGGGAACATCATACAGAATTTTGAAATTTTACTAGTTTGGTTGGTTAGATTAGTTTAGTTTAGAACAGTATGACAACAAAACTTGAGTGTCTGTGACTGGAAAACTGCCCCCCCCCCCTCCCCGATCTCTGATGTCAACATGACGTAGGAGTGTTTTACTTACTCTGAGTGGTGAAACATATCGTACGTAACTCACCCGGGAATATAGGTACATTACTCCTACTTTATGGCCATATAGTTTAATATATTATTATCATACACAATTGTTTACAATAGTTTTGATCAGCTAAGCGTGATATGTAACAACCGTTTAAGCATAAATCTTCTTCAACGTTATTTTTCATATTCTACAATTCTGTTTGTAGGCAACCGGCCTTATGTCTGCCACTGCGGTAGAAGATACAAGCATAAAAACAACCTGATTGAGCACCAAAAGTACGATTGTGGGAAAGATCCTCAATTCCAATGTCCTCATTGCCATTATCGTGCAAAACTCAAGAGTAACCTCAAGAAACACATCGCCTGCAAGCACAGCCAATTGGAGATTCATAATATGTCCAATCATTGCTACGAACTTGTACCATTGACTTTTGAACAAACAAATATTTTACCGACCAACTATTTAAAACAGTGAATCGTAGGGAAAATACTTTTTTAGTCGATTAATTGTTTGGTGTAACACAGATATAAAACATTGTTGGGATTTCATTATAACTTAATTGGGAAATGTTACAAATTTTGAATTTTTTGTTCATGGTATTAAAGCCTCTCGATCACCAAAAAGCATTGATTATGTTACCTATTAATAATAGTTCACAGTTTATACTCACCAACTATCTTTGGCACTGAAGTGATCATAGTACATTACTAAGTTAGATAAGGAAACCAGTTTTATCCCTCAAGTGGTCTAGTACAAGCCGAAATCGTAAATTAGATTGGGAAACATTTAATAATTTCCAGATAAGTAAAATGGACCGTAAATACAAGATTAAGTAATGCTTTCAAAAGAATAATCAAAACAATAAAACATAACCGTACGTGTAATACTCTAGAATTGGATTTACCTGACCCTTAAGATTATGAATATATGGTCTTAGGTTACTCTATAATCCCATTTATCCAAGTGTTTACAAGGATTAAAACTTTTAGTTTTTGCAGATGTGAAGAAACCTTTTTGCTGCGACTGCGGCAGGAGATACGTGCACAAAAAACATCTTACAAATCACCAAAAGTACGAATGCAACAAAGCGCCTCAGTTCAGCTGCAGCTTCTGCCCTTATAAGGCCAAGCAAAAGGGAACCCTGAAAACACATGTCGCTCTAAAACACTGTGAAATGTTTGTTTAGGCCACTTTACAATGGTAAAATGACAAGCATACCTTAGTATCTCCAATCAGAGAGAAGGATTTTTTCATTATCATACAATTAAAAATGCTGATACTGTATATAGTTGGACCTGACCTAAAGTTAAAGTTTACCAGGTTGAAGTTAGTACTGTTATCGAATATGCCAACGATAAAAGACATTGTTAATAGTAATTTCTTTATTTATTAAATACCATATTCTCATGTTTGAGGATTAAAGAATTTGTATAAGTATTCTTATGAATCTTCATTTTTAATGTGTTAAGATATTTATAGTTACAGATTCTTCTACATTTGTTACAAAATTTAAGAAATTATTTAAGTATTATTTAAGCTATTATTAATTAATTATTAATTAATTATTATATGTATTATTAATTATTTAAGCTGGTTCTACTTGTTAGAGGATACTGATATTGTTAATGAATTAGCATTGCACTCTATTTTTATCAAGATGTTGTAAATATGAATGCTTACTAAATTGCACTTTTGTCTAACAAATAATCTGTGATAGGATTATGGGAATCGAAGATTATGTAAAAACTGTTTTGCTAATATACTTAATACAAAATTATGAATACCTTTAATTTGTAATCATTGAATAAAAATAATTTAACCTAGTTGATTAAAATTATACCGTCTATTCATTTCCCCCTGAAAAATTGACACACTAGTCATGGTGAAATAAATTGTGAAAAGTTACAAATACCTGGTACTACTTTTTCATCCTTCTGTTCCTTGAATGGATTACGCGTTTCGATGCCGATGTGCTTTTTCAAGTCTCATAAAACTTAGGGAGATAGGAAAATTATACTTTGTTAGGAAATGTTTGTTTTTGAAATAGGAGAAAAGTCTGCTAAAATTGGGTGGCGACAGCCAACTGGCGATTTAAAATATGTCCAATCATTGCAATGTAGAACGTTTGCCATTGACCTTTGAAGAGTCAAAGATTTTACTAACATACTATTTAGAACAGTAACTTATATAGAATAATAATTGTGGAGTTAATAAATAGTTTCAGGTCTTTTCAAATTTTAAGCTACTCTATAATCCCATGCATCCAAGTTTTTACAAGGATTTAAATTTTTAGTTTCTACAGATGGGGAGAAACGTTTTTCCTGCGACTGCGGCAGGAGATACAAGCACAAATATCATCTTACAAATCACCAAAAGTACGAATGCAACAAAGCACCTCAGTTCAGCTGCAGATTCTGTCCTTATAAGGCCAAGCAAAAGGGAACCCTGAAAACACACGTCGCTCTAAAACACAGTGAAATGTTTGTATAGGTTTATACAATGGTAAAGGACAAGCATTCCATGGAATATCCAATCTTTTTAGAGAACAGAATTTGTTATTATCATACAGTTAACAATGTTGCTATATGGTTAGACACCCTGGGTTGTTTTTTTACTCTTTGATAGTTATGTCACATGAAGTTGATTTTAAAGACTTTTTTTGGGCCCGACTAAGTTGCTGGTCATTTTATCTTACCTTATCAAATGCCTAAAACATCTGATATAACTACTCAGTTGAAGATTACGAGGTTGAAGTTAGTACTGGTATCAAACATGACCCAACGATAAAAGACATTGTTCATAGTAGTTTATTTGTTGAATAAATACCTTGTTTTTCTAATTTTTGAGGATTAAAGAATTTGAATCTGAATTCTTTATATGTCGAGTCTTCATCTTTTATATGTTAAGAGATATATAAGACAGATTCTCCTACATTAGTTGACATATTTGAAGAAATAATTTAAATAAAAGACTACACGTTCTAGGATAGTACTGATATTGTTAATGAACTAGCATTGCGCTCTATTTTTATCAAGAGAGTGTAAATATGAATGCTTACTAAATTGCACGTTTGTCTAACAAATAATCTGTGATAGGATTACGGGAATCGAATATTATGTTAAAACTATTTTGATAATATTCTTAATAAAAAGTTATCAATACCTTTAATTTGTAATCATTGAATAAAAATAATTGAACATAATTGATTAAAATTGTACCGTCTATTCATTTCCCCCTGCAAAATTGACACAACGTACAGGGTGAAATAAATTGTGAAAAGTTACAAATACCTGGTACTGCTTTGTCATCCTTCTGTTCCTTGAATGGATAACGCGTTTCGATGCCGATGCGCCTTTTTCAAGTCGCATAAAACTTAGGCAGATAGGAAAATTAATTTTACTTTGTTAGAAAATGTTTGTTTTTGAAATAGGAGAAAAGTCTGCTAAAATTGGGTGGCGACAGCCAACTGGCGATTTAAAAAATGTCCAATCATTGCAATGAAGAACTTTTGCCATTGACCTTTGAAGAGTCAAACATTTTACTAACATACTATTTAGAACAGTAACTTATATAGAATAATAATTGTGGAGTTAATAAATAGTTTAAGGTCTTTTAAAATTTTAGGCTACTCTATAATACCATGCATCCAAGTGTTTACAAGGATTTAAATTTTTAGTTTCTACAGATGGGGAGAAACCTTTTTCCTGCGACTGCGGCAGGAGATACGTGCACAAATGTCATCTTCGATTTCACCAAAAGTACGAATGCAACAAAGCACCTCAGTTCAGCTGCAGATTCTGTCCTTATAAGGCCAAGCAAAAGGGAAATCTGAAAACACACCTCGCTCTAAAACACAGTGAAATGTTTGTATAGGTTTATACAATGGTAAAGGACAAACATTCCATGGAATCTCTAATTAGAGAACAGAATTTGTTATCATCATACTTTTAAAAATATGGTTAGACACCCTGGGTTGTTTTTAAAATTTTGACAGTTATGTCACATCAAGTTGTTTTTAAAGACGTTGTTTTTGGCCCGACTAAGTTGCTGAACATCTTATATTACCTTATATGCCTAAAACATCTGATGTAACTACTCAGTTAAAGAATACGATGTTGAAGTTAGTACTGGTATCAAACATGACCCAACGATAAAAGACATTGGTTATAGTAGTTTGTTTATTGATTAAATACCTTGTTATTCTAATGTTTTAGAATTAAAGAATTTGTATCTGAATTCTTATGAGTCTTCATTTTTTATATCCTAAGAGATATATAAGACAGATTCTTTTACATTTGTTGACAAATTTTAAGAAATAATTTAATTAAGTGACTACTTGTTAGAGGATACTGATATTGTTAATGAACTAGCATTGCCCTCTATTTTTAACAAGAAAGTGTAAATATGAATGCTCACTAAATTGCAATTTTGTCTAACAAATAATCTGTGATAGGATTACGGGAATTGAAGATTATCTTAGAACTATTTTGATAATATACTTAATAAAAGATTATTAATACCTTTAATTTGTAATCATTTAATAAAAATAATTGATAAAAATTATACCTTCTATTCATTTCTTCCTGCAAAATTGACACAACGTCCAGGTTGAAATAAATTGTGAAAAGCTACAAATACCTGATACCGCTTTGTCATCTCTCTGTTCCTTGAATGGATTACGCGTTTGGATGCCGATGGCCTTTTTCAAGTCTCATTAAACTTAGGCACATAGGAAAATTGTACTTTGTTAGGAAATGTTTGTTTTTGAAATAGGAGAAAAGTCTGCCAAAATTGGGTGGCGACAGCCAACTGGCGATTTAAAATATGTCCAATCATTGCAATGAAGAACTTTTGCCATTGACCTTTGAAGAGTCAAACATTTTACTAACATACTATTTAGAACAGTAACTTATATAGAATAATAATTGTGGAGTTAATAAATAGTTTAAGGTCTTTTCAAATTTTAGGCTAATCTATAATCCCATGCATCCAAGTGTTTACAAGGATTTAAATTTTAGTTTCTACAGATGGGGAGAAGCATTTTTCCTGCTACTGCGGCAGGAGATACGTGCACAAACATCATCTTCTATTTCACCAAAAGTACGAATGCAACAAAGCACCTCAGTTCAGCTGCAGATTCTGTCCTTATAAGGCCAAGCAAAACGGAAATCTGAAAAGACACGTCGCTGTAAAACACAGTGAAATGTTTGTATAGGTTTATACAATAGTAAAGGACAAGCATTCCATTGAATCTCTAATTAGAGAACAGAATTTGTTATCATCATACAGTTAACAATGTTGCTATATGGTTAGACACCCTGGGTTGTTTTTTTACTCTTTGATAGTTATGTCACATCAAGTTGATTTTAAAGACTTTTTTTGGGCCCGACTAAGTTGCTGGTCATTTTATCTTACCTTATCAAATGCCTAAAACATCTTATGTAACTACTCAGTTAAAGATTACGAGATGAAGTTAGTACTGGTATCAAACATGACCCAACGATAAAAGACATTGTTCATAGTAGTTTATTTGTTGATTAAATACCTTGTTCTTCTAATTTTTGAGGATTAAAGAATTTGAATCTGAATTCTTTATATGTTGAGTATTCATTTTTTATAATGTAAGAGATATACAAGACAGATTCTTCCACATTTGTTGACAAATTTTAAGAAATAATTTAATTAAGTGATACTTTGTTAGAGGATACTGATACAGTATTGTTAATGAACTAGCATTGCGCTCTATTTTTAACAAAAAAGTGTAAATATGAATGCTCACTAAAGTGCACTTTTGTCTAACCAATAATCTGTGATAGGATTACGGGAATTGAATATTATGTTAAAACTATTTTGATAATATTCCTAATAAAAAGTTATGAATACCTTTAATTTGTAATCATTGAATAAAAATAATTGAACATGATTGATTAAAATTGTACCGTCTATTCATTTCCCGCTGCAAAATTGTCACAACGTACAGGCTGAATCAAATTGTGAAAAGTTACAAATACCTGGTAGTGCTTTGTCATCCTTCTGTTCCTTGAATGGATTACGCGTTTGGATGCCGATGCGCCTTTTTCAAGTCTCATAAAACTTAGGCAGATAGGAAAATTAATTTTACTTAGTTAGAAAATGTTTGTTTTTGAAATAGGAGAAAAGTGTGCTAAAATTGGGTGGCGACAGCCAACTGGCGATTTAAAATATGTCCAATCATTGCAAGAAGAACTTTTGCCATTGACCTTTGAAGAGTCAAACATTTTACTAACATACTATTTAGAACAGTAACTTATATAGAATAATAATTGTGGAGTTAATAAATAGTTTAAGGTCTTTTCAAATTTTAGGCTACTCTATAATCCCATGCATCCAAGTGTTTACAAGGATTTAAACTTTTAGTTTCTACAGATGGGGAAAAACATTTTTCCTGCGACTGCGGCAGGAGATACGTGCACAAACATCACCTTCTATTTCACCAAAAGTACGAATGCAACAAAGCACCTCAGTTCAGCTGCAGATTCTGTCCTTATAAGGCCAAGCAAAACGGAAATCTGAAAAGACACGTCGCTCTAAAACACAGTGAAATGTTTGTATAGTTTTATACAATGGTAAAGGACAAGCATTCCATTAAATCTCTAATTAGAGAACAGAATTTGTTATCATCATACAGTTAACAATGTTGCTATATGGTTAGACACCCTGGGTTGTTTTTTTACACTTTGATAGTTATGTCACATCAAGTTGTTTTTAAAGACTTTGTTTTTGGCCTGACTTAGTTGTTGGCCATCCTATATTACCTTATATGCCTTAAACATCTGATGTAACTACTCCGTTAAAGATTACGAGATGAAGTTAGTACTGGTATCAAACATGACCCAACGACGAAAGACATTGTTCATTGTAGTTTATTTGTTAATTAAATACCTTCTTCTTCTAATTCTTGAGGATTCAAGAATTTGTATCTGATTTCATATGAGTCTTCATTTTTTATATGTTAAGAGATATATAAGACAGATTATTCTACATTTGTTGACATATTTGAAGAAATAATTTAAATAAAATAGGATAGTACTGATATTGTTAATGAACTAGCATTGCGCTCTATTTTTATAAAGATGTTGTAAATATGAATGCTTACTAAATTGCGCTTTTGTCTAACAAATAATCTGTGATAGGATTATGGGAATCGAAGATTATGTAAAAACTTTTTTGCTAATATACTTAATAAAAAATTATGAATACCTTTAATTTGTAATCATTGAATAAAAACAATTGAACCTAGTTGATTAAAATTATACCGCCTATTCATTTCCCCTGGAAAGTTGACACGCTACACATGGTGAAATAAATTGTGAAAAGTTACAAATACCTGGCACTGCTATGTCATTCTTCTGTTCCTTGAATGGATTACGCGTTTCGATGCCGATGCGCCTTTTTCAAGTCTCATAAAACTTAGGCAGATAGGAAAATTATACTTTGTTAGGAAATGTTTGTTTTTGAAATAGGAGAAAAGTCTGCTAAAATTGGGTGGCGACAGCCAACTGGCGATTTAAAATATACCCAATCATTGCAATGTAGAACTTTTGCCATTGACCTTTGAAGAGTCAAACATTTTACTAACATACTATTTAGAACAGTAACTTATATAGAATAATAATTGTGGAGTTTATAAATAGTTTCAGGTCTTTTCAAATTTTAAGCTACTCTATAATCCCATGCATCCAAGTTTTTACAAGGATTTAAATTTTTAGTTTCTACAGATGGGGAGAAACGTTTTTCCTGCGACTGCGGCAGGAGATACAAGCACAAATATCATCTTACAAATCACCAAAAGTACGAATGCAACAAAGCACCTCAGTTCAGCTGCAGATTCTGTCCTTATAAGGCCAAGCAAAAGGGAACCCTGAAAACACACGTCGCTCTAAAACACAGTGAAATGTTTGTATAGGTTTATACAATGGTAAAGGACAAGCATTCCATGGAATATCCAATCTTTTTAGAGAACAGAATTTGTTATTATCATACAGTTAACAATGTTGCTATATGGTTAGACACCCTGGGTTGTTTTTTTACTCTTTGATAGTTATGTCACATGAAGTTGATTTTAAAGACTTTTTTTGGGCCCGACTAAGTTGCTGGTCATTTTATCTTACCTTATCAAATGCCTAAAACATCTGATATAACTACTCAGTTGAAGATTACGAGGTTGAAGTTAGTACTGGTATCAAACATGACCCAACGATAAAAGACATTGTTCATAGTAGTTTATTTGTTGAATAAATACCTTGTTTTTCTAATTTTTGAGGATTAAAGAATTTGAATCTGAATTCTTTATATGTCGAGTCTTCATTTTTGATATGTTAAGAGATATATTAGACAGATTCTCCTACATTAGTTGACATATTTGAAGAAATAATTTAAATAAAAGACTACACGTTTTAGGATAGTACTGATATTGTTAATGAACTAGCATTGCGTTCTATTTTTATCAAGATGTTGTAAATATGAATGCTTACTAAATTGCACTTTTGTCTAACAAATAATCTGTGATAGGATTACGGGAATCGAATATTATGTTAAAACTATTTTTCTAATATACTTAATAAAAAATTATGAATACCTTTAATTTGTAATCATTGAATAAAAATAATTGAACCTAGTTGATTAAAATTATACCATCTATTCATTCCCCCTGCAAAATTTACACAACGTACAGGGTGAAATAAATTGTGAAAAGTTACAAATACCTGGTACAGTAGAGTCCCGCAAACTCGGCACTCGATAACTCGGCAGTCTGGATAACTCGGCCATCACCTGGCTCAGAAAATTGGCGATTTTTTGAGTCCGAGTTAAACATGGGCTCAAGTCAAATCATTCGCAACTCGTACCAAGGATTTGTTATACTATATCTAATGACTTAATACTGACTTGCAATATAAAAATAAATAAATAAGGCGGGTAAAAGGAATAAAAATTGTTTTGTTTTATTTTTAACCCTAGTCCCGATAACCCAGCATTTCACAAACTCGGCACCCTTCCAGTCCACATTACACCGAGTTTGCGGGACTCTACTGTACTGCTTTGTCATCCTGTTCCTTGAATAGATAACGCGTTTTGATGCCGATGCGCCTTTTTCAAGTCTCATTAAACTTAGGCAGATAGGAAAATTGCACTTTGTTAGGAAATGTTTGTTTTTGAAATAGGAGAAAAGTCTGCTAAAATTGGGTGGCACCAGCCAACTGGCAATTTAAAATATGTCCAATCATTGCAATGAAGAACTTTTGCCATTGACCTTTGAAGAGTCAAAGATTTTACTAACATACTATTTAGAACAGTAACTTATATAGAATAATAATTGTGGAGTTAATAAATAGTTTAAGGTCTTTTCAAATTTTAGGCTACTCTATAATCCCATGCATCCAAGTGTTTCAAGGATTTAAATTTTTAGTTTCTACAGATGGGGAGAAACCTTTTTCCTGCGACTGCGGCAGGAGATACGTGCACAAACATCATCTTCTTTTTCACCAAAAGTACGAATGCAACAAAGCACCTCAGTTCAGCTGCAGATTCTGTCCTTATAAGGCCAAGCAAAACGGAAATCTGAAAAGACACGTCGCTCTAAAACACAGTGAAATGTTTGTATAGGTTTATACAATGGTAAAGGACAAGCATTCCATTGAATCTCTAATTAGAGAACAGAATTTGTTATCATCATACAGTTAACAATGTTGCTATATGGTTAGACACCCTAGACACCCTGGGTTGTTTTTTAAATTTTGATATCAAGTTGTTGTCAAATTGTCACATCAAGTTGTTTTTAAAAACTTTGTTTTTGGCCTGACTAAGTTGTTGGTCATCTTATATTACCTTATATGCCTTAAACATCTGATGTAACTACTCAGTTAAAGATTATGCGGTTGAAGTTAGTAGTGGTATCAAACATGACCCAACGATAAAATACATTGTTATAGTAGTTTATTTGTTAATTAAATACCTTGTTCTTCTAATTTTTGAGGATTAAAGAATTTGTATCTAAATTCTTATGAGTCTTCAATTTTTATATGTTAAGAGATATATAAGACGATTCTTCTACATTTGTTGACATATTTGAAGAAATAATTTAAATAAAAGACTAATCGTTTTAGGATAGTACTGATATTGTTAATGAATTAGCATTGCACTATATTTTTATCCAGGTGTTGTAAATATGAATACTTACTAAATTCCACTTTTGTCTAACAAATAATCTGTGATAGGATTACAGGAATTGAATATTATGTTAAAACTATTTTGATAATATTCTTAATAAATGTTATGAATACCTTTAATTTGTAATCATTAAAAAAAATAATACCTTCTATTCATTTCTCCCTGCAAAATTGACTCAACGTACAGGTTGAAATAAATTGTTAAAAGTTACAAATAACTGGTACTGCCTTGTTATCCTTCTGTTCTTTGAATGGATGACGAGTTTCGATGCCGACACGCCATTTTTAGGTCTCACACAACTTAAAAAAAATAGGCACATTGTACTTTGTTTAAAAATTTGAAACTTGAAAATTATGACAATTCTGCAGAAATTGGGTGGCGACAGCCTAATAGCTATTCAAAATATGTCCAATCATTGCAATGAACTTTTGCCATTGGCCTTTGAACAGTCAAAGATTATACTAACACACTATTTAGAAGAGTACTGTAAATTGTATAGAATGATAAATCTGTGGTTAATGAATTGTTTTGTGTTCTTCTTAGGTTCATGGTTACTCTCTAGTCCCATGTATTAAAGTGTTTACAGGAATTTTAACTTTTAGTTTCAGCAGACGTGGAGAAACCGTTTTTCTGCGGCTGCGGCAGGAGATACATGCATAAACGTCATCTTCAAAATCACCAAAAGTACGAATGCAACAAAGCACCTCAGTTCAGCTGCAGCTTCTGCCCTTATAAGGCCAAGCAAAAGGGAAATCTGAAAACACACATGGCTCTGAAACATAGTCAAATGTTTGTATAGGTTACACATACAAACAGGAAAAGCATTCCTTGTAATCCCCAATGAGACAGTGAGAGCGCAGAATCTTTTATCATCATACAATTAACAATATGATTGGACCCCCTGTTTAGTTTTTTTTCACTTTGATGGTTAAGTCACATTATATTGTTTTGAAACAGTTGGGATTTTAAACAAATTTTGGTTAGTTGTTTGATACAAATTTGACATATTAGGGCCTTGACTTTGTTAAAAGCAATGTATCACATTTTAAATAGTTTCAACACATGTTTAATTAGAAAAGTATATTAACATAAGCTTCTGTTCAAAAATGTGTTTGGTAAAGATACATATATTTATTTATTTATTTATATGGTGGTTTTATTAGCTGAATTTTCAATGATGCATTTGACTTGCATACTTTAAATATAAGTTCCGTATTTATATATATATTTTGTAATACATGTTATGAAGTGCCCACAAATAAATGTAAATTACCACAAAATAATTATTAATATTTTATATCATTGTTATCGAATAAACTACAGTAGTAAAAACCAACTTAATTATTTTTAGATTGATTTATTGTACCGTACCCAATGTGATTTTAAAACATTTGAAACATGATATGACATTGTTAATTATCAAAATTTTTCAAAAGGCAAAAAAATATTACTCACGGTGAAAAGTTCTTATAAACATTTGCAGAAACCCTACAATTTTACAGGTCAAATCCCCTGTCAGTCTTGGTTTAAAATCAAATATTGTAAGTTATTGTGCTATTTTCGTGTTTAACCTAACTTATTGATTCTCATAATTCCCGCTTTTTCGTTCAGTGTTAGCTAACGGAAGTGAAAAAGCAGGCTTCTACTGCAGGTGTGGACGAAGTTATACGAACAGGAAGTATTTGAACCAACATCAGAAGTTTGAGTGCGGAAAAGAAGCGCAATTCCAGTGTCCACATTGTGATCATAGGACCAAGTTGAAAGGGAACTTGAAGAAACACATTGGCTTGAAACATGGACTGTTTTTAAGTTAAATGTATGGATATTCAATGCAAAAAAATAAATATTGAAAATCAAGGTTTTTTGTTTTAAATTACATGTAATCTTTTACAAATCCTTGTTACACTCTCTATATTGTTGATGATTCCTAGTTGTGTGATTTGAACATAAATAGAGTTTGAGTTTAGTACACAGAGAGAAAAAAAAGTAGGATTTTAAGGAATCAAAAACGCTTCATGGTAATTAACTTACGGAACAAACTCATAAAATTTGTTTGGACATGTCGGGGATTAAACCTATGTCTCTTTTTATTTAAACTACTTTTTGTTTGTATAGTACTTATTTGCAACCTAAACTATTTTTTTTTTATAATTTTCTTTTTAATATTTAGTTGTCCTTTTATAAATGAAAATGTTTGTCAGTTTAAATTATGAGCAAAATACCTCAACTTACACTTTTAATATGTTTTCATTATCCTACTAAAATTATAAGTGAGAAATTCTAAAAAATATTCGAAATACCGGTACTTGTACTTATACTCCTATATATGTGTTATGCCATAATAGAATTTTTTGAAGGAAAATATTATTAGCGATATTCCTGAAATGGAAGTGGCTACTTCTATAGTCATCATGATACTTATTGCACATGATAGATAGTTTCAATGTCTTTTTTGTAACCATCACATTCCCCTTACAAATTCCTTTAACCATCTCAAAGTTTTCGACGTTTCAACTCATTTCATTCTGACACAAGGCACTAAACACTTGCTTTCTGCACAGCCTTCGCGATTGGTCAAGACAAGAACTTCTTCTGCGGATGTGGCCGAAGTTACAAGAACAAGAAACATCTTCAACAACACCTTAAGTACGAGTGTGGGAAGATGCCAAGCTTCGGCTGTATGTTCTGTACGTTTCAGACCAAGAGGAAAGAAAACTTGCATAGACATGTAATATACAAGCACAAAGACAACCTTGTTGGTATCTCAGTGGAATAAGAAGAGAGTTAGCCATAGATACAATTAGTGTTTTAAATCAATTTACCTCCCTCTATATTCACCTTTGCATAGTTCACTTATTGAAATGCACCTTGGATGTTTTGTTGGAGTATTGATTACCGTTACAAAAATTTGTTTCGTAAATATATGAATAAGCTGATTGCCCATACTATATCTCTATTATTATCGGTAAATACGCGTCTTCTAGAAATAAGATGGAAAAACAGGAATCTAGTTTGTGAATGATTTAGGTCTTTACGTTACGAATCATTAATTTTTTAGACAAGCTGTTTTTCTCAGTTTTTTGTTGTTTAGAAGACTTAGTGCCAAAGTAGAAAATGTTTCTTTTATGTATACTTGTTAGCATTATACTGTGATATATTTTACCATTAAAATAACTTATTCATGACTTCTTTATTTATTCCCTTTACAGTTAAAGGGTAACTGAAAAATGCATAGTAATCAAAAACCTAAAGCAGTCCAAAATTTTCCCCTAATTTGTTTAACGACTTAAAAAAAAAACAAATGGTTAACCTCACAAGCCCACTTTCTATGAAATGGTTTTTAATTTTTTTATAATAACTTAATTTTATGTAACACTTTTATATTATTTTTCAGTTGGGGAACGTCAATTTGGGTGTCCTTGCGGACGGAGATACAAATACAAGAAAAATCTCCAACAACACATGAAGTACGAATGCGACAAAGAACCAGCGTTTCCCTGTGAATTTTGTCCTTATAAGGCAAAGAGAAAAGAAAATTTAAAGAGCCACGTGGTTTTGAAACATAAATATCTATTTGGTTACCTTTGATACAAAAATTTTGCTCTGTACCATTAAATTTAAAATTAATTTTTCTTTTTGCAAGTTTAATTAACCTTTTTGATATATATAGCGTTAGGTGTAGTTAAAAAAAAACTTTTACTATAAAATGGGGTTCCATTTGAAAAATTAACTAATTATTGCGTAAAACTTTGAAATTATTTTTCAGTTGGGGAACGTCAGTTTGGGTGTCCTTGCGGAAGGATGTACAAATACAAGAAACATCTTAATCGACATTTGAAGTACGAATGCAATAATGAACCAGCTTTTCCCTGTGAATTTTGTCCTCATAAGGCAAAGAGAAGAGAAGACTTGAAAAGCCATGTGCTTAGGAAACACAAACATCTATTAATGGGTTACCTTTAATACTATAATTTTGCTTTGTACCATTAAATAAATAGAAAAAATTCTTTTGCATGTTTATTTAACCTTTTTTTATCCATAGGGTTAGATGTGGTTAAATGAATAAAACTTTTATTTTATTGACTTGTTATGAAAAAATCAAAGATAAATTTAATACTTGTTTCAAGCTGGAAACCTTGCTTGTAATAATTTTTTATTCTGTATTGCACCAGTTTTCTGTGCATTTTCTATTATTACTAAGCTCTATTGATATATATTTACTTGCTTTACTATTTGTGCTATATTACTGCTGATTGGGTGCTGTTTTAACATAACATTTGCTTTTCTGCAACAAAGACGGCTACAACATAGTGCAAAACCATAGCGGGAGGATGGTCAATACAATATATGGGGCTTCCATCGTTCTGGATATCAGCGTTTCCGAACGGGGCGGTTAGTTTAGCATATTTTTGCCTAAGTGGTTCAGCGAGGCATTAACCACTGATAAGTTGAAGGAGATTTGTGAAAGCAAGTCTTACTTTCTACGATACTTGGGGATGACTGAAAACTCCCCAAACATACAAATTTGGAAAAAATAAATGATTAATTATATTTAGTTTATCCAGCCCTTTTTTTGTTAGTCTTAAGTACTATGTGTAGATGCGTACATTTGTCTTGTACGCAAGCGTTACTTAACTTAGCGCCAGATCTCTAGGTCAGACTAGCTGAGTTGCATTCATGATCTAGTGCGGCGCCAATTTGAAAGTAAATTCATTTTCTAATGCAGTCACTTGTACGATCATTCGCCTGGCAGGCTATTCGACTTGCAGTAGTTATGCAAACAACAGCAGGCTGGTTATTACGGTTGGTATTTTTGTCATATTCTAATCACTGCTCATGTTCTAAAAATATAAATTAACTTAATATTGTGTAAAGCTTTGAAATTATTTTTCAGTCGGGGAACGTCCGTTTGGGTGTCCTTGCGGAAGGACGTACAAATACAAGAGACATCTTAATCAACATTTGAAGTACGAATGCAACAATGAACCAGCGTTTCCTTGTGAATATTGTCCTTATAAGGCAAAGAGAAGAGAACATTTGAAGGGCCATGTAGTTAAGAAACATAAACATCTATTAATGGGTTACCTTTGATGCTATAATTTTGCTTTGTACCATTAAATTAAAAGAAATGTTTTACTTTTGCATTTTTTACCTTTTTGATATCTATAGCGTTAGGTGTAGTTAAATAAACATAACTTTTACATTATTATGAATAAATCATAGATTAATGATACATTTGTTAACCTTAAGAATCCACACTCTATGAAATGGTATTACATTTGAAAAGTTAACTAAATACTGTGTAACACTTTGACATTATTTTTCAGTTGAGGAACGTCAATTTGGGTGTCCTTGCGGACGGAGATACAAATACAAGAAAAATCTCCAACAACACATGAAGTACGAATGCGACAAAGAACCAGCGTTTCCCTGTGAATTTTGTCCTTATAAGGCAAAGAGAAGAGAACATTTGAAGGGCCATGTAGTTAAGAAACATAAACATCTATTAATGGGTTACCTTTGATGCTATAATTTTGCTTTGTACCAATAAATAAAAAAAAAAAATGTTTTACTTTTGAATTTTTTTACCTTTTTGATATCCATAGCGTTAGGTATAGTTAAATAAACAAAACTTTGACTTTATTATGATAAACTCATAGATTAATAACACATTTTTTAACCTTAAGAACCCACGCTCTATGAAATGGTATTCCATTTGAAAAGTTAAATAAATATTGTGTAACACTTTGACATTATTTTTCAGTTGAGGAACGTCCGTTTGCGTGTCCTTGCGGACGGAGGTACAAAAGGAAGAAACATCTCAATCAACACATGAAGTACGAATGTAACAAAGAACCAGCGTTTCCCTGTGAATTTTGTCCTCATAGGGCCAAGAGAAGAGAACAATTAAAAAACCATGTGGTTAAGCAACATAAACATCTATTAATGGGTTGACTTTGTAGATATTTTGCTTTGTATTATTAATTTGAAAACGTGTTTTCCTTTTGCATGTTCAATAAACTTGTTTGATATCCATAGGCACATATGTTATATGTAATATGTAAATATAGTACAATGTTATACTTATGGTATATTGTATGTTAGGGGTGGTTAAATGAATAAAACTTAAAAGAAAAAAAGAATTCTTGTTTCTGAGATCTTTCATAGGTAAAAATTTGTGAAATAAGGGAGTTACTTGTATTTTGTAAAAATGGTTTTCCGGAAATTATCCTTTTTTGTATTAATTCAATCCATCCACTCGTTTAACTGATTAAGGCATCCTATTTGACTTGGTTAATTTAACTAAACTTACAGTTGACAGTAAATAAATTTAAGACATTTAAATACAATTGAAGTTACATAAGCTCAATTAATCAAGTCTTTTATCTTTTGTGTTTATATACTTAAATTTTAATTTTTGAAACATTAACAGGAAAGCTAAAAATTGATAATTTGAAAATTTGATGAATATTTGTAAATTTATTTAACTACTAACTTTAGCATCAATTAAGTAAATTGATTGAAATAATCTTAATGTAATAATAAGATCTTAATGTAATGGAGGGTAGCCTAGGCAAGCTAGGTTGATGACCTGTGGTCAGGCCTTGCTTGCTGTGAAGCGTGCTGGAGGTGTTTTGTAAACACTGAGGGCTTTGCACTCAGTAGCTATGGGGTTGAATAAATAGGCCACCTGAGGTAGAGAAAGGGGTCAGTCGCCCAGGACAGGGTGCCCAGAAGAGTTGGGTGAGTACACGTTGCTCTATCTTAGGGTTAGGCCTTTTAGTCGCGAGTTTTTGTAAGGGGAAGTTTTGTTTAAGTGGGAGTATAAGTTAATTAGGATTTGTGATTTTTGATAAGGAAAATTCTTTTGGGTCGAATTTGTTTTTGGGGATTTTATATATAGAGTTCTAGTTGCCTCCAGGACGTTTCTGACTAGCCATTAGTGGGTTTGTGGTTTATAACTGTTTTATTGTTGTTTAGGATAGTTGATTGATTTAAGATAATAAAAAGGTTCAGTGCTTTGAATTTAATCTGGTTCTCTCATTTAACAGCCACCCAGCTCATAACTAAAGTTATAAGGTTGAAGATCCCACTAAAGCTACGCTCCCATGTGTACATGCAGGATAACCTGTGAAGTGTGAGGGTTTTTGACATATCACATTAACATCATGCTGTGTTGGTTTGCCAATCCAATCACTTATTCCCATATGTTGTCTTAGGAGATGTTGCTATGACGGCAGACAATAAATTCCTGTGTCATTGTGGCCGAAGCTACAAATACAAACATGGCCTCGTAGAGCATCAGAAGTACTTTTGTGGCAAAGAACCCACGTTTCAGTGCCTTTATTGTCCATATAAGGCGAAGAGGAAAACATATGTCAATACACACACGATCATGAGACATGCTGAGTATTTAAGCGCTGATCTTGTACAGTGAAGTGATACACATTATTTTCCTTTTTTTTAAATGTTTTGAATTGTTATAACTTTAGTAACATAAATTGTTGTTAATAACGTATTATGGTTGTATATGTCTTGAAATTATATCTGTGTTGTATATTGTATGTTATATTATTTTAGCAAGGAATGATATGTACTTATTGGTGTTATATGATATTTACTCTTTTTAAGAATGTGAATAAACGAGTAAATAACCCCACTTTAAGTTTTTCCTAATAATGCAAGAAAAACATTACACTAAACTTATATAAAAAGAAATACAGTAATATTATTAAAAAACTAAACATAATACCCCTTTTTCAAAAACTATTGTTTATTTTTTCCTTTTTTTAAATTTTTTTATTGTTATAAAACAAATATAAATACGGTAATAAGGGTTCATCTTTTAAATAAATAGAAATAGATAAATTGGTTAATCAAGTAATTTACAAGATTTTAGCGAAGAAGACTGCTCAATTAAAAAAATCAGATGTATCTTTCTGTAAAGATAAAAACTCTCCAAGTGTTCAAGTAATTGAGAGCTATGACCCATTAAAAAGACCACTTTCTTAGAATTGTATGCACTCCTATAAACGTAAAAACAAATGCAACCCACCTAGGAAAAATAATTATTTAAGGAGTTTGATCACAGTGTCTGTGCGAGTTTACCTGGATAAAACATTATTTTTAATCGTTAGGTTCAACACGATTGTCAGTTTTCCACCAATAAAATCATGGACGTACAATACAGACTTATATGTTTAGGTTAGGCTAGGTTACAATATTTGAATTTGAGGATTTTTAGCTTATTTTTAGTTAGATATCGCTAATAATAGGCAAATACACAAATGTTAATTCTAGCAAATTTCCCATATAGGGAATAAGCTATTACCGTAGGTCTCATGGTAAGACCTGGACTCGGGACCAATTTACTTTTTCATTTTGATGTCCCCAGAGGCCAAAAACACCATCCGTTCAAATTCATATATATATCATATATATATGTATCCGTCAGCACGATAACTCGAACAAAAATTATCCGATTTTGATGAAATTTGGTATAAACGTGTAAACCTACATTTATTTGAACGAGTTCGCAAACCAGCATGATTGGACCATGGGAACAGGGGTTTATGGGGGTTTTATGGGGTAAAAATGGGGTTTTTCCCATTTATTAGTTATTTAAATTGAGAATAAATATGTCTTATATATGGAAATATTTTAGTAAAAATGTAATCAGACAAGTTGAAATTCGCTTAGTCTGCAGGTTTGCTGCGGCAGGGGTATTTAATTGTTAGTTCAGTATCTAAAAAAACATTAATCAAATATCACAATCAATTAAAAATATTACATTGGGAGCGGCTTATAAATGTTGACTTTAAATATTTTAATTATGGCAGTTGGCAAGAAGAAGAATTTTTGTCCTTAAATATTTTGATAATTGCACTTAAAAAAGCTATAGCCTAACCATGGATATTTTAAATATTAGAGTTGGCAACGATGAACAATATTTTATCCTTAAATATTTTGATAGTTGCATTTGATGAAGCTATAACCTTGAATATTTTAATTTTGCAGATGTAAATGATGGGGAAGAGTCGTTTCCCTGTGACTCTTGCGGCAGAGTTTACAAGTACAAGAGAAGTTTGATGCAACATTTGCGTTATGAGTGCGGAAAACCTCCCATGTTCAGCTGTCCACATTGTCCTTATAAAGCGAAGAAGAAGAACACTCTCAACACCCACGTGGCCATAAAACACTCACACTCTGCCAACAGCATTTTAAATTTGTTGTTATAAACAATGATTTTTATTTTTATTTTCATTGATAATAGTATTGACCTCAAAATTTAAAATTGTCATAAATATAAATCAGCAGTATTAAAATAATGCTAACCAAATTATTTTAAACAATTTAAACAAAGACATGGTTCAGGATTAAAATTTCATTTATATTTTTAATTATTCATTTATTAAAAAATCCTATTTATCTAGTTTTTTTAGAGACTGTCAATGGCATTGATTGCTAATATATTTTATTATATTATATTTGATTATTTTGTTCTTACTTTTCAACAAAATAACTACATTTCAAACAAAACTGTAATCATTCACGTTTAATACAGAGTTATAATTGTTAAACACAAATTCGTTGCTGCCCTCAATCGTTCTATGTGTATGTAGTTTGAATATATTTGCAATAAAATGTTAAATTAATAGGCCCCATGATTTTATGTTATACACTATCCACTTTACAATTTTAGTACTGGTATTTAGGTTGGAAAGATTGCATTAATTGACAAGGAATATTAATTGATTTTATCACACCATTTCAGATACATTTCAAAATATGAAATTTACATTTTATTAAATGTTAAAAATATTCTAAATTTACAATGAACAAAATATGCAAGTGTCAAATTATTTATTTGGAAATAATATTTTGTATTTTTCACCACTGCCATTGGTATATATTTTTTATAAGGTAACACGCCAAAATCTGATTTTTTTAACGTATAACCTCGAATATTTGTAGAATAGATGTATGTAAAATCTCTATTTAAATATTCAAAATGTATTTTGTATCTATTTATATTAATCTATGTAAGTTTCAGGTAATTTCGGCGTTGGAGAGGGTATATTTCCCTGCCCTACCTGCCAACGGGTTTACAAGTACAAAAGGAATCTTTGTCAACATTTGAAGTATGAGTGCCAAAAAGAACCTTCATTTCTGTGTACTTATTGTCCCTATCGAGCTAAGAAGAAAAATAATTTGAAATCTCACATGGTGTTGAAACATCAAGAATCCCTCAGTATTAAATAAAATGTTTAGTGAATTATAGAATAAAGTATTGTGCCATGTTGATCGTTGGTTATTACACACTAAACTTGTAATCCACTACTGAAGTTAATTTTATAATACTAATCAAAGTTAGAGCTTCTGATTATTCTAGTTATTACAAACCAACATATATTGTTGCTGCAAATTGCTATCCTTAAAGTGTATTGTTTTGCTGTTCTCCTGGATATACGCAATTATTTTAAACAAGGCAAATTGTATGAAACACCTCCTGACACACGTGTTTCAAAATTAAACAATCTTTGGCCAAATTGATTTAAACTTTTATCACACAATTGTTTTCTACAAAAATTAGTATTTTACTATAGCAGTTTTCTTATTTTTTCATTTTAACTTTAAACATAAAGCAGTTAGGAACTAAGTAAACCTGTCAAAGCTACTAATTTAATAACAGAAATATGAATAACAGAAGGTACAAATAGAACATTTATGAAAGGAAGAATTCCAATTTCAAGATGAATAATTAACACCTCAACCACTTTAGTAGTATTACAGGTTGGACTATAGAGTTTATATTAAATTTAATTGCTTGTGTTATAGAAGCACCAGAACTATTCATCTGTCCAGATTGTGGAAGGATCTACAAATACAAGAGGAGTTTGAATCAACACATGAAGTACGAGTGCAATAAAGAGCCCCATTTTGCTTGCGAGTTTTGTTCTTATAAAGCGAAGAAGAAGAATAATCTTAAGGCTCATGTGGCTAAAAGACATTTACAACAAAATAACCTACTTAGCCTTTTTGTCTAGTTACCTCCTGTGATATTTGATATTAAGTAAATGCTTTATGTCTCCAATAACATTTGATTTCCCCCAACGATTTAAGTATGAAGTGCTTTAGGAATTCTGAAAAGCTTTCTAACTATCTTTTACTATTAAATTTGTTAACTATAAATATTACCATAAAACGTATTGTAAGAAATTCCACAGTCTAAATGCTACTTAGACTTATCAAGTTCATTATTTTAGGTGTGAAGGGAATCTTCCTTAAAAAACTCAACCAATTGCAATCTTTATTGGAACACATTGAGCTAAAAACTGATTTGGTGTACGAAGAAGTTGTCAAAGGACGGTGCGATACAAGAAACTCTGGGTTGAAAATACTTAGTGTGAAATCCATCAATTCATCTTTGGTTGAAGACGGTTTTCTTCAAGAAATAAAGAACTTGCTACCTATTTCGTCAGAGGAACAATTCGAAGCACTTGAAAAACAGCTTGAGGACAAAGAAAAACGTGACGTAATGGTGAGTTGGGAAACTAAATCTATTTTTTTTTTTTTGAACTTTCGATAGCGGGAAAAATGGGAAAGTAGGGCTTTTTTGTCCCTGGACTTTTTTCCACCATGTATATAAATAGATAGTTTTAAATGTGTTTTCACTTAAAACGTAGTCTACAGTATGTACTATGTACATACTATGTACTATGTACAAATCCGATCTGAAATATGTTGCTAGTTTAAAGGGGATGAGGGGCATCACCTACCGTTTTGCAATGAACCCGAAGACCATGGGTTATTCCTAATTTGTACATCAATTTAATTCATTCATTGTTTTTCTTGGGCAATATATCCTGAAAAATTGAAAGGAGGCTTTGAAGATGCGGTGAAAAATCTCTCCTTGTTCCACTCATGGAGAGGGGTGTCGATTGTGACATCATAACTTCACAACTATTTGACATAGGATCGTCTTGAATTCGGATGTTTTTGTCATCACTCCAATAGTCTTTATAATAGTGTATACAGTTTTCGAGTCATAGTTATTTTAGATTTTGCCTTTGGATTATGCTGAAATAGGGTGCGGCAAAAAAACCGATCTATTTTCTGCAGAGCACTGTTCAGCGACAGGTTGTACGAGAGTGGTGGGAGTAGGCTCGTTGGAAAGCCTACACAATGCCATTTTTTGTAGTCATAGAGCAGTGGTCGCCTGAGCTAGTGCGGTTTTTATGGAGTCGTTTTTATAAAATAGTGAATTCATTCATTGCTACTCATCGGCAGTTTCATGCATTCTTTCCATTAAGGCGACAGCGACAAGGAGAAGTTCCGTTGCGTAGCACAATAATGCGGTGGGTTACTTATTTTAGGACAACGGCTTCTGCGTTGAAAAAGAAGCTGACAGGCCTTCCAAAGTCAGATCGGACGCCAGACAACAAACATTCGATAGAGTTCGTGCTGCAGTGGAAAACTGTCCTCGTAGGCCAGCCCGAAAACAAGCGGCTGCCTTGAACATGTCTGACAGGTACACAAATTTTGAGGTAAATTTTCATCACTATGGGTTAGAATAATAATCTGTGTAATTTGGTTATCATCCATTCAGATAATCACGACGGAACCTCTCTATGTCGACCTAATTGAATAAACGCAGGAACTGCCGCTGAGTTGCAATGACTAAATCATTACTTAAAAAACAACTCGATAAAAACCGCACGAAGCTCATATGACCACTGCTCTATGACTGCAAAAAATGGCATTGTATAGGCTTTCCAATGAGCCTACACCCACCACTATCAGACGACATGTCGCTGAACAGTTTGCTGCAGAAAATGGTTCGGTTTTTTTGCCGCACCCTGTACTAAATTGTCGATTCCTAAATCTTTTATTTACAACTCATTTGCATTATTTGAATAAGATTATGGACGTAAACGTTATTTAAATACATAAACCTAATAAGGTAAATGCACCAGTGGCTGACAGTGCTCCAGTAGCTGACAGTTTGAGTTTCTTTACATTATAATGTGGTCTCTTAAAAATATTTACACATGATTGCATTGTTAGAAGAACATATGTTTACTCTTGATTTGTTTACAAAAAAATCAGTTAAATTTAGCCCATACTTGCGGAATGGCGGTGGTTTGAAAGCGACCCTGTCCGTACACATCACATTTAGTCGATTCCCTTAATGAAATTGTTAAGAAAGTAAGTTTGGTTTTTTGTCATTTTGCTAAATTTCTTAAATAGTATTAATGATTAGGCTCATTATTTTGATCAATTATACCTTTGTTGACAATTTCATGAAAAAATTGGGGCGTTAGGGGTTTTGGATTTAAAATTATATCAATGTCAGGCATTGGTACACAAAATCCATACAAGTTCCAATAGCTGACAGGGGATATTTGCTACTTGCACAATATTAAATTGGTTTTACCCATCGAAATTTGCATGCTATTTATTTTATAAAATGATTTTAATTTTTTAATTTATTAGCAAAATTATCTTAAAAAATGTATATTTTTTAAATATATATAAAATATATATACAGGGTGGTAAAAAAGTCCCAGGACAGTTAAATATTTTAAAAAATAATGTAGATAGAGCTACAATACTTGGTACAAAGTTACAGGGCATAAACCTCTATTTAACACATATTCAGTGATCCAATAACTCTTCAGGGGGACGGCCCACAAGGAGTCGTAAGAAAATCTTAAATTGAAGCATAGGTCAATATGCACATCAAATTAAAGGTCTTTTTTAGTAGAATACAATGCCGCTAACCGCACTTCAAAAGGTTGATCCTGCGCAAAATGGCAGATGTTCAAAGATTTCTTGAATCCGCCATTTTGAATCTTTGAACGACTGCCATTTTTTACTCAGTCATTCTTTTGAGCTTGAATTTACGGCATCGTAATCTACTAGTGAAGACCTTAAATTTGATGTGCATATCGACCTATGCTTACGTTAACAATTTTATTCCGATTCCTAGGGCTGTGCCCTAGGAGAAGTAAGCGTATAATAGCAATGTAAATTAAATGAATCTTTGAACAACTGTCATTTTGCGCAGGATCAACCTTTTGAAGTGCGGTTTGCGGCATTGTATTTTACTAAAAAATATCTTTAATTTGATGTGCATATTGGCCTATGCTTCCATTTAAGATTGTCTTACGACTCCTTGTGGGCCGTCCCCCTGAAGAGTTATTGGATCACTGAATATGTGTTAAATAGAGGTTTATGCCCTGTAACTTTGTACCAAGTATTGTAGCTCTATCTTCATTATTTTTTAAAATATTTAGCCGTCCTGGGACTTTTTTACCACCCTGTATATTTTTTAATGTAAATATTTTTTATTTTAAAATATGAAAAATAAATTTTCTTAACAACGTTTTAAATGATTTTATAATTTAATTATTAAGTTAGATTTTATTCGTCTTATAAATTATAAAACCCTTAGGTTTAGCAGCTAGTACATGTATAGTTCCAGTGTCAGCTACTGGGACAACTGACTGTCAGCTACTGGTACAAGCACTTTTTTCACTGTCAGCCACTGGAACACGTACAAAGGTTGAATTAAGTTTAAAAATGTTATAAAATATATTTAAAAAACCCTTTTTGTATGACAAATTTGAAAACTACATTAAATTTAGAATCACATAAAATCCGTAATATCTCTTTAGTTCCTATTTATTCAAAACCACGGATTATTAAGTGCGTATAGTTTCTTATACTGTCAGCCACTGGTGCATTTACCTTAAATACATAACTTAAGGGAAATTATAGAAATCTTTATCACTTTTGTTCTAGATGCAGTATTTGACCATCTTTGGAGGCCATCGTGTAAAGGATATGACTTTAACAATCTTGAAAAATCTAATGACCGATGAATTGGCCCTGCACTACAGCTATTTGGGCAAAAGGGGGAAAAAGGTTTTCACCAAAGTTCGACTGAACTCGATTATTCTTGGTAAGATTCCGTAATTAGCTTTATATTATATAAACAGACTGTTTGTGACATTTTGCATCCTAATTAATAAAATTAAAAATCTTAATAAGCATTTGGACGATACATTTTTCCTTGAATTTAAATAAACCCAACGACTCGACAACTTCTTCTTTAGGAATTATAATTTTGTGAAACGACACATGAAAAGAATAGCAAAGTTAATAAATCACAAAAGCTAACAAATACAAAACGATACCATGGAACTTTGACAATATCGCCCTTATGATTTTATATTACACCTGATCACATTTTATTGCAACCCTCTATCTATCCTCGATTACAAGTCTTACTTTAATAATTAAAAACTTATTATCAAGCATATTAAAATATCAAAAATCAAAAGGGACAATATTAAAAAATTGTACTGTTTAGGCAGGGCCATGCCTTAAGTAACACATATTTTTGAATAGGTTTACTGGGTCAAAAGAATACAAATATCAAAAACAACATTCTTATCAAACACAATTCGTCAGTGAAATATCCATCATATTTTGTGTTTTTAAAACATTTATTTCAAACAACTTTGAAATACAATCTATGTGAAATACGGTAAACAATTACCTATTCTAAAAAGTCTAGTCTAGTTTTTAATTTCTATCTAAAAGTCATCATCTATTTGAAATTAAATAATTTAAAAAATTTTCAAAAAATTTATGGAGGGATACTTCTGTGTTTTTATCTGTTTCTTCAAGAACTATACAACAGTTTATAATTTCTGTTGCAGAAGTTGTCAGAACTGCAAAGAATGCAACCAACAAAGAAATCATACCCATAATTTCAAGATGGCTCGCTGGTGCAAGAAATAGATTGGACGCCAGGTAAGTTTTATCTCTAATTGTGACAAAACTGCATTCTTATTTTACCATTTTTTGTGCCAACACGAGATAATTTATTTTGAGATAATACATGCATTGCAAAATTTATGGATTTTAAACTGTAAAATTATGATGTGCAGAAAATCTTCAATGAGCTAAACTAATTTGGGCACTTAAATGAAAGTCAGGATTCATGAAAACTATAAATTGTGTATAAAATCTATACGCAATAAGCTGTAATTGTGTTAAAATTATGCACAGTCCTTAAACACGGGGTTGGGATTTATGGGTAATTGGATTGGACGATTAAATGCTGTTTGATTATGTTATTTAAAGCTTCCCATCAGATTAAATTAAATTAAATTTTAAATTTAATTACATAAAAAATAGATTTAAATTTGTATTTCTAAGATATATTTATTAAATTGTGATTAAGTAACTTCAAAACATATATTGGAGAAACGTAAGTTAACATTATGAGAATAATTTCATAACCATCAAAGATGTAGCCCAACGACAATTAAATATTATTGTAAGTTAATTTATTTCAATTTTCTATTTGTTTTAGGAAACAGAGAGAAGAAGCCAAAACGAACGGCTCATAAATTGAAATGAAGAAGAAGGGCGAAGCTATAGGAATCGTGACCTGAAGGAGATATTTTAGCTGATAATTATGTATTACTAGCTGTAACCCGCGGGCTTTGCCCCATTTAACTTCTTAATTTTCAAGATTATCTCGTTCGCATGGCTCAATCACATCCTGGTTGAAGTTTGTCCGCTACGCTCACTCACCTTTAGGTTGGAGCTCGTTTGCTACGCTCACTCACCTTTAGGTTGGAGCTCGTTCGCTGCGCTCACTTGCCTTCAGGTTAGCTCGTTCGCTACGCTAACTCGCCTCCAGGTTGAAGTTCGTTCGCTACGCTCACTCACCTTTTGGTTGCAAATTAGCTGTTGTCATAAATGTAAAAGAAATAATAGTGCTGCTCCCTGTTGGTAATCCTTGTAACTTTAATGCTATTGAACATCATAGAACAGAACCAACTTATTTAATTGAAACAGCTGTTAAGATTCAATAATTCCATTTCTCATAAGGTTAACATGGGAAACTTCAGAGCCACTGGGGCGGAGCCCGAAAGGATTTTTGAAATAAGAATATGCCTATATGTTAATCGAGAATGTGAGCTATCATCATGCCAAATTTCAGCCCAATCCGACCAGTATTTTTCGCGTTCACTTGTCACAAACATACATCCATACATCCATACATCCAAACTTTCTCATTTATAATATTAGTAGGAAAATGAAAGTCACAAAACATCTAAATTGTTCTGATTATGCCCTTAGTACAAACTATATTGCATATTTATTTTTGCTTGAGTAGTGGTAAACACACTCAATTGGTTTAGAATAGAATATGATGTCTTTGAACATATATTATTTTGTGTTATCCTTGATTTGTGTATGGTAATTAAACCAGCATTAAATTATTTGTTCATTGTGCATTATAGATTTAGTCTAAAATTACATGTTGTTGTTATATTATTGTTTTTACATCGTCATTACTTTGATAATATTTTGTAGTAGTATTTATTGAATTCCTATTAATTTAATTTAAGTTCTTCTCTTAAGGGTGAACAATTTGACTAATTTGAATCTTTAAACAATGAATTAATTGGATTAAAATTGTGCTTAGCTATACAAGTTATATTTAGCTAGTGTATTATAT